TACTGTGAGGCAGCAATTCTCAGCCAGTGTGTCATGCACCCTGAGGTGCCTTGAGATCCTTTCAAGGGTGCTGCAGGGTGCCATACAATGTTAGTACTGTTAGGTTTACAAACATGATTCACAAGACTAAACCCAGAGATTTCAAATAGAAATCCATAGTTGTGCTTCTGAGTTTTTTGGGTGTTTTTTTGGGGGGGAGGGGGGGCTAATAGAAAAATTGCTCTATTTTTCTGTAGGCAAAAAGTGAAATCTTAAGTGTTGGCACTTCCAAGGAGTGCCTAAAAAAGTTAAGAACCACTGCTATAAGGTGTTAAAGACTGGGAACTCAAAAATTATACTGGACCCTTTAGAAGATCCTGATCCTAAATTTCAGATCCAAACTCTTGGCACAAGTAATGTAATGCTGAAATGTTATACAAGAGTAAGAAATGAACCTTTAGTTAAGACATACTGATCTCTTAATGTTCCAATAAAACTGTAAATGACTGAAACATTGTCCTGTGCAATTTAATTTCAGTTTGTGATGATGAAAGCAGAAATTGTCCAAAATTTGATGAATGGATGCAGTTCATTCCTAACTGCATCACATTGCTGTGTGTACTGTTGAAGTGTCTGTAATGCTCTTTGGGGGTGTGGCTCACAGTGGGGCATGGTTCTAGCCAGTACTGCATGTGGGGTCTACAGTGAATGTTGGAGTGGCTACAATCCCCACCCTGTAGCTCCCCTCCCAGTGCCACTGCTGCCTGGCCCACTTCTCGCCGGGAAGAGCCTGGTGCTGCCCCAGCCCCATCCTGCAGTGGCAGCCCACCTTCACCCCATGCACACGTGCCCCACATGCCCTCCTGGGGTGCGCACAATGGTGGGAGCTGCTCCCCTCTCCCCATGCCCCTGGATGAGCCATGGCTCTGTCCCGTGCCCCACCTGGCTGTGCAATGCCTGCCTGAGCCCCACTCCCTCCTTCCCCACAGGGGCCTTGATCTACCCCCCACCCTCTTCTTCCATCACAACAGACTTACCAGCTGGACACTGCTCTTCAAGCTGCCAGGCTGCGTATCAGAAATCAGATCGGTATTGGCCGATATGCCTCCTTAAAAGTCGACTATTGTATCGGCCCAAAAAATATTCTATTGGTGTACCCCTAAAGAGAAGTAATCACTGAAATAGCATCTGACATGGGTCTGTCAAATAACTAGGCAGATGCTTGTGGATGTGAGCCAAGTCTTTCCAGACTGATGAATTTACGTTTTAAAAGGAGAGACCTTAGCATGAATATCACCTGGAAACAGACAATTGAAGGAAGGGCATTTATCATGGTGGGGAAATTAAGTGAGGGATGGTGTCTTTAACATCTGTCTGAAAGGATATAAATACTCCCCAAGTCATAATTGGATCTGGAAAGGCTTCTAGCTCAGTAACCACGCACACCCTTGCAGGGCAGGAAGCTATATGCATAGTATGGAGTCCTCAAAGATCCAATGGATAATGTATGTAAATGACTAGATAAGAAACCATACTTAAGTCTTGCCGAGAGACCAAATTTTTGTGTGTTGTTTTTCTGGGCATGGGGAAATGCTTTAGGCCAGAGGTAGGCAAGATACAGCCCACAGGCCAGATCTGGCCCACAGAGGGACTTTGTCCAGCCCACAGTAGGTGCCTTGATCCCGCCTGGCCGAGGTGCCATGCAGTCTGTGGCGTGTTCCACTGCCCCAAGCGTGCAGCGGGGTTGGGGAGGCTGTGCAGCTGGACTCCATTTCTAAATAGCCCAGGTGGCGGTGGCTTCTTCTGACTGCTGCTACCATTGGCACCATCCCCATGGAGTCTGGTGGGTATCTGCCTGCACAGCCCTAACCCCGCCCTGCACCCACTCTGGACCAGCTGGGACCCACATGCACAGTCCTGACCCCAGCTTGCTTTGCACCTCCTCTGGATCACCTGCCCAAACTGAGCAGAGGTGGTGGCTGGGCAGAAGCTGCTTCTCGGTGTGGGGGGGAAAAGTGGCTGCTTCCCCCTTGCTGGTGCCAGTCCCTTGCAGCCACCTGGAGCCCATGCCTGAGCCTGGGCTACCCTGTTGCTCCTCTCTATTGCCACTGTTACCACTCTGGGTGGCCTGGAGGCAGCTCTGGTGGTGGTGGCAGGTGACTGTGGTAGTGAGGGAGCTGCAAGGCAGCCTGGGTGCGGGCTGCGGGCGGCTGTAGCAAGAAGGGCCCACTAGTGGCGAGGAGGAGGTAGAAGCTTTTCTTCTGTTCCCAGCAGAAGCTGCTGCTGGTGCTGCTCAGCCTGGGCAGGCAGTCTGAAGCAGGTGCAGGGTGGACCGGTGTCGGTACAGTGCGCTTAGCTCCTGGCTGGTTTGGAGCTGGTCTGCTCCAGTTGTGGGGAGTCTGGAGTGGATGTGGAGTGGGGTGGGGCCAGGACTGAGAGCTGGTGGTGGTGCCAGTGGTGGAGGAGAGCCGCAGGGTGCACAGGCTCTGGGCTGTTATGGTGGGGGTGGGTGCTGACTGGCCCTGACAACTCCCCAAAACTGCCTGTGTGGCCTGCAGGCCCAAATAATTGCCTGCCTCTGCTTTAGGCACTCAGCTAGTGGGCTGAGTAGAGCTGCGTTCTTGGGTTTAAAATGCAGGGTCAGATCAGATTCTGTTATTTTCTTTTTTGTTTGTTTGTTCTTATATCTCTATTTGTATCTCTCCTTATTGTTACTGATTTCTTATGTATGCTTTCATTTTTATAATAAATCCTTTTGTTTTATATCATGCTTATTGTCAATGATAACTGTGATTTCAGAGCATTTGACCACACAGACAGGCCTTTTCGCTAGAAGAGGGATTGAAAATTTCTGAGTGCAATATTGGTGTGATTTTTTTTTTTTTTTTTTTCTCTCTATTTGGCAAAATTCCCTCTGAGAGCTAGCAAGACATAGGTGAAGTGAATAAAGCTTAGTTGTTGAGGTGACATTTGGAGCATCTCAGTTGGTCCTCAGTGGTCAAGCAGCAGATAGTAGAGAACGGTTTGCGGCTGAAGGACATCCATGAAGGTGAGAGAACACCCCAGGAGCGTATCTCAAAGGCACACCTGACCATATCCAGAGTCAGGGTATGTCACAAGCCCCCCAAGTCTGATCCTCCAGGACTCTTAATAGTAACTTCCATTGAGCCCTCTTTCGGCGTTATTTGGAGGCAACTCCCAGTCCACCTTATCTTGTCCAGCATAACGAATCATTTCTTTGGTGTACTTTAATAAATCATTTGATGTCAGTTTGGAACAGAAATTTCTCAACTGGAGTGCGATGGCAATCTGGGGTGCTGTGAGATCCTGTTAAGGGTGATGCATTGCCTGTTCCCTTCATGAAGGGGTAAAAACTCTCCTCCCCCAGGCCAGTGCCTAGTGCCTGCTCCAGTTACTTAGTGGTGCCTGTGGATGCCCCTTCAGCCTCTGTGCTGCCTGCCCCTGCACTCCCAGCAGTGTGCTGTGCTGTGGGTTGGCAGATGGGCAGACATGGTATCAGAGCTGCTCCTTGCAATCAGGCTTGTTACCTCAATTCTTCCCATGCTCCCTGGGCCAGCAAGAGGGCTGCAGGAGCAGTTGCCATCATGTGAGACCCCACAAGAGCAGCGTCAGTGGTGGGACCTGTCCTTGGCCCCTTGGGCACAGACTGGGTACAGAGTGGGGCAGACAGTGGAAAGGGCATAGCAGAGTTAGGTCCTGTTCTCACTGTTGTCACCTGGCACCAGCTAGATCAGTGGTTCTTAACCTTTTTAGCCTCCAGGCACTCCGCCATATCTCTGTAGCTCAGTGATTTTTTCAACTGGTGTGCTGTGAAATTTGGAAAAATTATGGAGGGGTGCTTTAAGGCTAAAAAGGATGAGAACCATTGGCTTAGGAAGTGCTCCATTTCCTTTGTTCAGCTATCCTATTGAAAGAAGATACCAGGTTAATGTTGTGACAGTTTGTTTTTGGTATATCCATTTGGCGTTTTTTGTCTTTTCTTTACGGTCACATCTTTTAATTACTTTCTTTCAACATGTATTCCAAAATCGTACATGCTGTTGAAGTCAGACGAGGACTGTAGTTGTCTGGATTATTCTTTCCTCCCCATCTGAAATATGACTGTGACCTCGTTTTTTCCCCAGTTGTATAACACTTTTCTCCCCCGCTGATGTGATGGATGTATTAAAAATACTTGCCACCAAATCTGTTATGTGCCTGTTTTTTTCAGAATCCTGGCATTGAAATTATCTAGTTCTTCTGCCCTTTCTGCACCATGTATTGTAGCCCTACTTCTTTATAAATAAAAGTGAAGAACCTTTTTCTCTTTAATATCCTTTGCTAGGTAAATCCATCTGGACTCCTGGCATTTTTCACTTTATTTCTATACTGCTTGACCTTGAAGTTTTAGCTTTCTTTGCTGATTAATCATTTTCCCATCCTTTGTAGGCTCTCTGCTTATTCCTAGCATGCTCTTTCAGGTTTTTATGAAGTCAGTGTTGTCTGGAGCCCTTTCGTACAAGTAGCGGGTACCCCTGCTACGTTGTGTTTATTTAAATCTATTAATTGAAATGCAGCATACATTAGTGTGCTTTCTTTGTGTGATACCTTTTTAAGGTTGAGGTCATTTCTGTGTGGTCAAATTACTATAACATTAACTTGTTTGGAAGGCTTAAGAATATTACACTGATTCTACTGTATCATTAAAATAAGCAAAATGCAATGTAGTAAATGGGAATATAAAATTAAAACTCATAACTATAGTTTGAATTTCTTGCACATTTTTAGATTAAAACTTACTAAACTGCTGCACTTTTCTGAGGGTCTCTAAGGAATAACAAATACAGTAACTTGCAAATTACTTTCCATCTTTTATGTAAAAAAATAACGTGTCAGTTCATTAGCTAAAGAACTATTATAGTGTGTATGGAGAGAGAGGAGTTGCACACTCAGGGAAAGGACGCATGTTAACTCATTTAAAATACATATTTCTGAAAGTTTGTTCTTTTCCCCCCCTACAGATCTGATACCCCTCTAATATATAAAGCTGTGCCAAGCTGGTTTGTAAGAGTAGAGCACATGGTGGAGAAGTTGTTGGAGAATAATGCTCAATGCTACTGGTAATGTATCTTGTATATATTTTTAGTTTAAGAATTGCTTATTCTTAATCTTTCAATTTTTATTCAGTAATATACAGTAATACTTAGTAATACACAATTAAATTACTGCTTTATTTCTTTTATATCCTAAGTTACTGAAATGGTGACATGGATAAACCTGAGAGCAGATTCCCAATTTGAGGTTTGTTTGTAAAAAAAAAAAAAAAAAAAAAAAAAAAAAAAAAGGAAGTGGGTGAGAGCATAGAAGTAATGTTTTTGGTGCTAATGATAACCTATATAGTTGATACAGGCTAACAGCCTCTGCTTGAGTATATCATTCCAGAAAACATCTACTTTAAGATGGAGCTAGTGTTAGGACATACCAGTTACTTAATAGAATGCATTAAAGCAGTGTTTGGCATAATTTTTGACTGATGGTCCAGTATCAACCTAACTGGGCTCTGAGGTAGACTAGCACTAGGACCTAGCTGCTGCTTCCCCCTCCTACCCTCCCCAAATGCTACTGAAGCCAGCCCCACAGCCCTGGGCCAAACCCTGTGGGAATAATCTGGCCAGCAGGCCATAGTTTGCCAAACCCTGCATTAAGGTATCTTGCAATTATTTCAGCTCCACATGTTTATAAACCTGGAAAAGCCCAAATAAAGCTTAAATCCAAACATGTAAAAGCATGGAAAGGTTCGTTGAGGACAACCAGACAACTGTAACTCTGTCCTTTAGTGGTACTATGCAATAAGCATATGATTATGGCTTAGGCATTTTATTATGTATAATCCCCGGTAGGATGAAATGGTTTTGAAAAAGTCTCCCCCATATTATGTTGCTACAGGACAGTTACGGTTATTTGAAATGCTGTACTTTATGTATTTCTAAAACCTCAAGAAGTTAAGTGAAAACTGTGATAGATAAAAATAAGAAGTTTGGTTAAAAATCACTTAGGAAATGAAAGGGGTGTGTACTTGGCAGCCGTGTTGGTCTGAGACAAAAAGACACAAAAAACTAGAACTCTTGGTTCCAAAATGATACCTTTTATTAGACCAACTGGAAAATGGCAAGAAAATTGTCCTTTTCTGCAAGCTTTCGGGATCAAAGTCCCTTCGTCAGGCTCTGGGAAAAGTGTAGATGGTACAAGATGGTAAAAAATCCCCATAGGTAGGAAATAAGCTTCATTTTTGCAAAAAGGGAGCTGGAGATGGAAGTCTGTCCCTCTGGGTCCATGAGAGTGTCTTTGTGAGCTGTGCTGAGTAGCTCTTTGATGTGTTGATCAGGTAGAATTCCTTCCCTGGAGGTGTCAGATGGCAGGCAGGAGGATTCAGGTGTCAGATGGAGGTGCCCCCCCACCCTTTAATTTCAGTGCCTGGTTGAGAGAAACAGATAAGACTGGAAGTAAATTTGCTATCAAAGAATGGGGGGTGCAGGCAAAATTAGAAGAGCCCATTTTGGGTGCTACTTGGTGCTACTTCAGTTGTTCTCGAGTGCTGCAATACTTTGGTGATTGACTCCTCAAAGAGAATTAAAGCTTCTGTGTTACATGCCTCAGGGCCCTTGAAATGCAGCCTTTTTGAGGGGGTGACTTGACTTCAACGAGACAAGGTTCCTTGGGTGAATCTGATATCCTTTATTAGACCAACCCAAATAGCTGGAAAGTAATTATTAAGTAAGCTTTTGGGTTCAAAAACCCTTCGTCAGGCTAAGGAAGTTTCAGCAGTTGGTGTGTGCTCTTCCTGGATGGAATGAAAAGTAAAGAAGCCAGAGGCTGGGCTGGTATGCATACAAGACAGGTAGTCAGTGAAAATGTAGATTGAGGAGTCAATGGGTGAGACAGGCGGGGGTGGGGGGGGAAGTGGGATGAATAGTGGAGAAGTACCTGGGGAGTCAGATGTCAGGCAGGTTATAATGTGTCATAAATCCAATGTCTATATTTAGTCCATGATTTTTAGTATCCAGGAGGTTGATGAAGTGGAGTTCATAGGCTCGTCTCTGGGAAGTGTTGTATAAGTTTCCTTTGAGGATCAGGACTGAGAGATTGGAGAGAGTGGTTTTCTTGTGAGAAATGTGCCCCCACTGGCAATTGGGTATTCCTGTCTTTGATAGGTTTCCGGTGTGCACTCTTTCTGGTGCACAGTTGTTGTTTGGTCTCTCCTACGTATTTTCCATCAGGGCATTTGGTGCATTGGAAGAGATGTATTACATTTCTGGAGGTGCAGCTGTAAGTCTCCAGAAATGTAATATATCTCATCCAATGCACCAAATGCCTTGATGGAAAATACGTAGGAGAGACCAAACAACAACTGTGCACCAGAAAGAGTGCACACCGGAAACCTATCAAAGACAGGAATACCCAATTGCCAGTGGGGGCACATTTCTCACAAGAAAACCACTCTCTCTCCAATCTCTCAGTCCTGATCCTCAAAGGAAACTTATACAACACTTCTCAGAGACGAGCCTATGAACTCCACTTCATAAGGGAACAGTGTTCCTGTGGTAAAGACAGCATTTGTTTTTGTTAACTTCCATTTTGGTATGGAGAAGGTAAAACTTGAAGGCATGTATACAAAGAATGGCATTTCTTCTGATACAGAGGAGGCCCACAAGAATTTAGACACCGCTTGAACCTATTTTATCTTCACAGTCCGGATTTAACTTAAGCCTGCTCTAGAGGTTTGGAATTGGTGGTAAATTTCATCTCCAAATATGAAAAAAACTGTCTTGGAAAAGGTATACTAGTAGCATAAGTCGCTGATAGAAAGTGCTATCTTTCTCTGTCTCTCTCTCATTATTCCTTGCAACCCGTTTTCCAAGTGATATTCTCAGTAGGTCATTGTAATTATTAAAGCAGTCATTTGTGTTGTTTGAGGAAAAATGCCTATTGTGACAATGCATTCCATTGTTTAACTGAACTTTTTGCAAAAATAATGTGCAAGTTGAAGCCCTTTCATTTTGTGGTAGTCATCACTGAAGGAAACCTGGCCTTTTCAAACATTTTGTAAAATGTATCTGTTCCTCTGTCCAATGTGTGGTTTCATAGTAGAAGAAGAAAGAGAAGGAGGGGTAAAAATCATATGTACATGGTATAGCTCTTAAAAAAACAATTCTTATGTTAGCAGAGTTGAAGTGAATTTTAAACTCTCTTCGAAAAGACCCGTTCATCTAGTGTGTCTGTCTTATATACCATGACTTCACTACATGAAGTCTTTGGGCCTGATCTCATAGGTGTGAATAACCCATTTTCCATTAGTTCAGTTATGAATAAGCCCCACTTCTCAAAACCAAGATATGTGCTGAAGTGAATCGGGTATATTGATAAGGTCATGGGCGTAGGGCCTAACTTTTTACATTCAGATTTGGGATCTCAAGGGCTTCTTCATGTCCTAAAATAGGAGAATTGGAGATAATGCCTTTTTAGGTTGAATTGACCTTTGCAAATTAGTTTAATGACTGTGTTGCTTTTTTAATGTTAAAAAGACTGTCCCTTAAGAACAGTTTTTCTCTTCTTTATAGATGTTGCTTTTGATGAAATGGATTGAATATAGTTGGACAAAATTTTATAACTTAATTGAATACCTAATTAGTTTTTTAATGAGATAGCTTATTACAGATGTTTTTGTACCAGTGGGGTTTTAAAGCTAGCTAATTTGAAAAAAATCTGCCAGTATCCTAAAAGAAATAGTAAATAGAATGATACTTCAGAATTTAAGTACAAGCTCAGAGCTTTCCAAAAAAAATTCTCCACCCCCTTGTATGAGTTGGGTTGATTATTTATTTTACTGGTTGTCAAAGAAAAATTTCCACTGGAATTTTTCAAAGTGGAATTGGACTGTTTTGTTTGTGCCTTGTCAAAGGTGTCAGATAAGTTTGGGCAGAACAGGGAAAGCCTAAGAGCTGAGATCCAAAAGCTCTAGGAATCTACACTAAACCACCACATGCTCCTATAATAGTCTTGAATTGCTAGAATTGAATTTTCCATGCAACTTTGGGTAAATAATTTAATCTAAATACCTTAGTTTCCCCACTTGTAAAACGAGGCTACTTTCTTAATTTATAAGAGAATTCAAAGTCCAACTTACATTTGAGTTGATGAACAACAAAAAAAACTTATAAAAATCAAATACATTATTTTAACACTTTCTCGCAATGGAATTTATAGTTGTATATTGATAAACACAGGGGTGATGCATAGGGGGTACACACAGGTGCACGTGCACCCCTAGAAAAAGGTGCTGCTGACAGTGTCAGCAGCGTCTGTGGGCGATGGTCAGTCGCCACC